AATAGATGTTATCCTGCTAGCTTTGGGCATTTTGGAGAAAATTATATTTCATAAGCATGGACACTTGGCGATCTGTACAAAACATCTTTCTGATAAGATGTTTGATAAGAATACGTGGGTAAAGGGAACACTTTGAAGCTATGTAGGCATTTTAGCAAGCTAAAGCTAAGTAGCAAACGGAGAATGACAGCTCAGTTGTCTTGAATCCTGGCGATCTAAACTTTAAAGCTTCCATTACTGCATGACTAGATATATGTCGAAAGGGGTAGTGTTTGAAACATTGAAAGAGCGTTTTTCAAAACATCGTCATCGTGCGTGCACGGGTCTGGCTTGCCAGGCTAGTTACCATCCACGTATTAATACAGGTAGGCTCTGGTTACAGCTCATGTAAATACCTGCTAATTGTGGAATAATGTTCTTGTGGAAAGGATGTTCGTGAATGATTCAGAGCATGATTCATTTTGATTGGCATCCCTTATGGTCTTGTGAGGCCTATTTTTTCTGTTAAACAATTGTAGCTGAAAATAAACAGCCAAATTACAACCAATAGTTTCAGTCAGAGGGCAAAATAGGCCTAATAGCAAGGATTTATGCTACTTATTTACAACAGTTAGATTTTCCAGAGGCTGCATCTGTCCTGACATTGTATCTATTCCTGTGCTAGATTCCAGAAACAGCTTCAGTGAAGCAAGTCCCGCGCAAGAAGATGGACATTATTTTATTTATTTATTTCATTTAAATTTGTGTGTACTTCTAAGTTCAAACATGTTTGGTTGGCAAAATAAATGTTATAAATTCAAATCAGAGCGTCATCCGTGTCTGGAATGGATGTAGAGTATTCTTGAGTCTATAAGGTAACAATAATATAATAATAAGAACCTTGTTTTAATTGTGAAATGTATTTGACTAAAAGAAAATTTAGTTTTTGTCTATTCTACTGGGTATTTGTACTATATTGACTAGGTAAAATAGAATTGCATCACTAAAATAAGAGACTAAAATACAATTTTCATTGACTAAAACTAGACTAAAATGTCATCAGTTTTCATTGACTAAACCGAGACTAAAATGTCATCAGTTTTTGTTGACTAAAACTAGACTAAAATAGTCATGGATAATTCTGACTAAAATATGACTAAAATGCTTAGACTTTTAGTCGACTGAAACTTGACTAGACTAAAATGAGTATGGACATGACTAAGACTAATAATGACTAAAATGACAGCTTGACGCAAAGACTAGACTAAAACTAAAATTAAGACAGGCCGCCAAAAACAACTATAATTACAACTGCCGTGAATGATTTTCGTCATTGTTGTTCGTTCAAATAATTACATTAAGTGCAATATTTGAAAAGTTGGTCAGGAACCCCTCTCACACAGGCATTGTGCATCAGTATCCTCTCTGGTTTTGGGCACTGCATACAGGGTGTGTCACAGTTTTATACATCCCAACATCCTCTCTGATTGTGGGCACTGCATGTAGAGTGTGTTACCGTCGCATATATTCCAGCATCCTCTCTGGTTGTGTTACATAATTCACTTAGGAAACAAAAATGGCTATTTTAATGTATTTTATTACATTACGTGGGTAATACACAATCAATATGGTATATTGAAGATTAATATAAAATACTATAGTTACAGCTGCAGCTCCCATCATGCTTTCATAGGTGTAAACCAGTGTTTCAAGTTACTGAAAATTGTAAGTTACAGTAACTAGTTACTTCATTCAGAAGTAATTCAATGACTTTACCAATCATTGCATAAGAAAGTAATTAGTCATCAAATAAATGAACAAATGAATTGATTATTACATAGGCCAAAGTTAATGTGTGCTTCAGCGAGTGCATTTTTTTTCAATAACTTTGCTTTAATCAGTTCGGCATAACCGTTAGACCTACTGTTACTGCTTCTGTCAAATTGTCAATATTTAACATAATAAACGTATAACTTTTAATGAGATAAACAATTTGTGTGGTATATGGTTTTGAACAGTATGCCTACATGCAGGGTATATAGAACAAATCTACTCTACTGTGTGTGTGTGTATATATATACACTCACCTAAAGGATTATTAGGAAGACCTGTTCAATTTCTTATTCATGCAATTATCTAATCAACCAATCACATGGCAGTTGCTTCAATGCATTTAGGGGTGTGGTCCTGGTCAAGACAATCTCTTGAACTCCAAACTGAATGTCAGAATGGGAAAGAAAGGTGATTTAAGCAATTCTGTGCGTGGCATGGTTGTTGGTGCCAGACGGGCCGGTCTGAGTATTTCACAATCTGCTCAGTTACTGGGATTTTCACGCACAACCATTTCTAGGGTTTACAAAGAATGGTGTGCAAAGGGAAAAACATCCAGTATGCGGCAGTCCTGTGGGCGAAAATGCCTTGTTGATGCTAGAGGTCAGAGGAGAATGGGCCGACTGATTCAAGCTGATAGAAGAGCAACTTTGACTGAAATAACCACTCGTTACATCCGAGGTATGCAGCAAAGCATTTGTGAAGCCACAACACGCACAACCTTGAGGCGGATGGGCTACAACAGCAGAAGACCCCACCGGGTACCACTCATCTCCACTACAAATAGGAAAAAGAGGCTACAATTTGCACGAGCTCACCAAAATTGGACAGTTGAAGACTGGAAAAATGTTGCCTGGTCTGATGAGTCTCGATTTCTGTTGAGACATTCAAATAGTCAGAATTTGGCGTAAACAGAATGAGAACATGGATCCATCATGCCTTGTTACCACTGTGCAGGCTGGTGGTGTAATGGTGTGGGGGATGTTTTCTTGGCACACTTTAGGCCCCTTAGTGCCAATTGGGCATCGTTTAAATGCCACGGCCTACCTGAGCATTGTTTCTGACCATGTCCATCCCTTTATGACCACCATGTACCCATCCTCTGATGGCTACTTCCAGCAGGAAAATGCACCATGTCACAAAGCTCAAATCATTTCAAATTGGTTTCTTGAACATGACAATGAGTTCACTGTACTACAATGGCCCCCAGTCACCAGATCTCAACCCAATAGAGCATCTTTGGGATGTGGTGGAACGGGAGCTTCGTGCCCTGGATGTGCATCCCTCAAATCTCCATCAACTGCAAGATGCTATCCTATGAATATAGGCCAACATTTCTAAAGAATGCTTTCAGCACCTTGTTGAATCAATGCCACGTAGAATTAAGGCAGTTCTGAAGGCGAAAGGGGGTCAAACACCATATTAGTATGGTGTTCCTAATAATCCTTTAGGTGAGTGTATATGGGACTCCATACGCGTCCTCATGAGGCATGCTGGGACATGCAGATGTTGCTGGCGCTACAGTATTATAGCATATTTGAATTATGCATAGTTCAGTAATTTCATTTGTACAATACTGTAATTTGAAGCGTTTTGTACTGTATTTTGAGAGTCAATAAAATTCTGTAAATAGTGACGCTGTAATGGATCCGGGTGGCTCGGGTGCGAGAACGAGGCATAGTGCACAAAAAAGGGTGGATGACCCACTGGCAGCTTCCAGGAACAAAAAATGGGGTTTATTAAATAAACAGAAAACACTACAAACACAAAAAAACCAAAAAGGACCACGAGGGGTCAAAAGCCAAAGGGAATAAACTAAGACTACAAATCACAAATAAACATAAACTGGGCAGGTAAACATAAGACAGATCTATCTTCAAAACCGTAAGACAATCAACAACAATCAACAAACCACTAGGGAACAGAACAGATACAGGGACTTTAATACAGAAACCAAAACTGGGTAATAAGACTAACACAGGACAGGTGAGACTAATTAACAGAGACCAGGAAAACAGGGCACAGGTGAAACTAATAAACTCAGGAGGAAAACAAGGAAACTAAGAACTAAAGAAACTGAAATGAAACACTAGGGAGCAAAATCAGAGGAGGTGGGATTCAAATGCAGGACAGAAAAGTTCAGACAACTGGACACTTAACACATTGAGCCATATGACCAGCCAGGTAACAAGGGAGAACAAAGACTAAGATAAAGAACGGGATGACCAGCAACGCCTGCTGGCCAAACGGGGAAGGGACACAGTAGGACCACAGGGGCTGACCCTGACAGACGCTGTCCATTCTGTTACGTTATATTTATGCAATAAATATACAAATGTGAATTAGATGGTTATCTGCATGAGATATAAAGAAAAAGGAAAAAAATCGGTTATAATGATCATCCGCGTACAGCAGTCAGTTTCACCCAGACAGATGTGATCATTATAAGCGGATTCCACTGTATTAACAAACACTAAGGGTTGACTAGCACAAGAAAAAACTAGGAACATAAGCAGACACAGAATAGAATTAAACAGGGCACAAGCATGGGAAATCTTCGTCAGGGGAACCAATAAACCAATAAACACTGAATAAGACTCTAAACCAAGACCAAGACACTACCAAGACCAGAGGGTATCGAGACCAAGACTAAGACCAAGACAGGCCAAGTCAAGACCAAGACAAAGTCGAGACGAGACCAAGACCGAGACAGAAAAAAAAGACTTAACTTTTGTGTGCTGTTTGAGGACTGAAATGACGGATACTGACTGGTCCCAAAGTCATCTGACAAAACAGCTAACACCTCCAACAACTGTCTAAAGAATGGGAAATATGTAACTGATTTCAATTTCACTTAATTTGTAGATGAAATAGTAACATCAAATTGAAGATACACAATTATAAACTTGAAATTGCATCATGTCCCATTGTAGTAGTACTAGCCAAATGACACTGTATGATATCAACTTCCCTGAAATGGATTAGGCCTGTTAAGTCAACACAACATGATATGCAGATGTTATTTAAAAGTCAATGGTCACATTTATTTAGTCAAACAACACCATTTTAAGTAAAATACTGTAATCAAACAATATAAAGACATGTACACATCACATGACTCAAATGCAAACTACAAATACTATATACCAATACAAACTGCACATCAAAATGTGCATTAATAAGAATAAGGACAAGTGCTTAAAAGATTCTGACATCTTAATGTCTGCAGTGGCATGTGATTACAACACACTGCCAATGATATCAAGCCTGTTCTTCAGTAGGGCAAGAACAATAGAACACAGACATTATGGACAAATAACAGATTGATAAACTAATACAGTTAGATGAAATACTTAAAAATAGAGAGAAAGAGAAAGAATGAGAGCATCACTCTTAATAGGCATATTTTCAGAGAGGAGGGAGAGAAAACAGTTCACATTTTTAAATAGTGGTTGATTGCATGACCGCAGAATTCGCTGACATTTTTTCAGTAACTTACTGACTATGCCTACTGCTCACTGTGATGCTGGATCTAACGTTTAACTAGCACTACACTTATTTTGCGTGTATAATGCATATTTTGACTGTATGAGCGCCAATTTCTGAATCACAAGAAAATGCATGTATGTCATTGATTAGTTGCATTTGAAGGGCGCAAAAGGCGAAATAATAATAATGTTGCATTATCGAACGTTACGTTGTGTGTCATGGATACTTTTCGCTCCAAATCTCCCGACCACTATGTCAAGAAAGACCAAGACAACGAGACCAAGACCAAAGACCGTCGAGACTGTAACAAGACCAAGACCACGTAAAAGTGGTCTCGAGACCGGTCTCGAGACATCCAACTTCACCATATGCTCAGTTAGCTCCCTTTAACCAATCCATGCCTGTCTTATTGAGCGCTAACTGCACATCAAATGGCAGCAAACAAAAATCTCTTTTCTGCAAAGTTTAAATGACACATTCAGTCTCTTTTTCTGCTGTATTCA